TTCTGGCGGGAATCTAGAAGTTTTTCATTTTCTCAGTTTTCGGATTTTTGTATCAGGGACACATGATAACCGAAGAGGTGTTCCGGTCTTCTGGCGGGAATCTAGAAGTTTCTCATTTTCTCAGTTTTCGGATTTTTGTATCAGGGACACATGATAACCGAAGAGCTATTCCGCACTTCTGGCGGCAATCTAGAATTTCTCATTTTCTCAGTTTTCGAATTTTTGTATCAGGGACACATGATAACCGAAGAGGTGTTGCGGGCTTCTGGCGGGAATCTAGAAGTTTCTCATTTTCTCAGTTTTCGGATTTTTATATCAGGTATACATGATAACCGAAGAGGTAATCCGGACTTCTGGCGGGAATGTAGAAGTTTCTCATTTTCTCAGTTTTCGGGTTTTTGTACCAGGGATACATGATAACCGAAGAGGTATTCTGGTCTTCTGGCGGGAATCTAGAAGTTTCTCATTTTCTCAGTTTTCGGGTTTTTGTATCAGGGACACATGATAACCGAAGAGGTATTCCGGACTTCTGGCGGGAAAGTAGAAGTTTCTCATTTTCTCAGTTTTCGGGTTTTTGTATCAGGGACACATGATAACCGAAGAGATAATCCGGACTTCTGGCGGGAATCTAGAAGTTTCTCATTTTCTCAGTTTTCGGATTTTTGTACCAGGGATACATGATAACCGAAGAGGTATTCTGGTCTTCTGGCGGGAATCTAGAAGTTTCTCATTTTCTCAGTTTTCGGGTTTTTGTATCAGGGACACATGATAACCGAAGAGGTATTCCGGACTTCTGGCGGGAATGTAGAAGTTTCTCATTTTCTCAGTTTTCGGGTTTTTGTATCAGGGACACATGATAACCGAAGAGGTAATCCGGACTTCTGGCGGGAATCTAGATGTTTCTCATTTTCTCAGTTTCCGGATCTTTGTATCAGGGACACATGATAACCGAAGAGGTGTTCCGGACTTCTGGCGGGAATCTAGATGTTTCTCATTTTGTCAGTTTTCGAATTTTTGTATCAGGGACACATGATAACCGAAGAGGTGTGCCGGACTTCTGGCGGGAATCTAGAAGTTTCTCATTTTCTCAGTTTTCGGGTTTTTGTATCAGGGACACATGATAACCGAAGAGGTGTGCCGGACTTCTGGCGGGAATCTAGATGTTTCTCATTTTCTCAGTTTCTGGATCTTTGTATCAGGGACACATGATAACCGAAGAGGTGTTCCGGTCTTCTGGCGGGAATCTAGAAGTTTCTCATTTTCTCAGTTTTCGGATTTTTGTATCAGGGACACATGATAACCGAAGAAGTATTCCGGACTTCTGGCGGGAAACTAATAGTTTCTAATTTTCTCAGTTTTCGGATTTTTGTATCAGGGACACATGATAACCGAAGAGGCATTCCGGACTTCTGGCAGGAAACTAGAAGTTTCTTATTCTCTCAGTTTTCGGACTTTTGTAGCAGGGAGACATGATAACCGAAGAGGTATTTCGGACTTCTGGCGGGAATCTAGAAGTTTCTCATTTTCTTATTAGCTTTGCTACCAGCCACCAGCGGGTCGAATCCTTTGTTTTTCTCTCACTTTCTGACTGTCTATCTCTCACACTCTTACTCTTTCTCACACTCTGTCTCTCTCTCTCTCTCTCTCTCTCTCGTTATATTTATTACCATTACCCGAGAAAAGAACTAAATTATAGCTTATTAGTTTATGTTATAAAATTGTTAACCTGATGTATCTCCGTTATTACTCCCTTCGTACAAACTGTCACTTGGCTGTCATTCGCCGCAATGGCAGCCGCAAACGGCACGAAGTCGGCTGGAATGCAACGTCGTCGTGACGACCAATCAGCGTCGCGGAAAAGAGGCTTCAATACTTCGAGACATTCGAGAGATTTCGATTTTCGATTGACACGTACTTTTTTTAAGAGGATTGTTGCATTCTTATTTTCTGGATGTACCTCGTATATTGGGCACGATCATCTATTATCTTCATGATTTGTGACAACTCAATGCTGTCAGATAAAACGAGTAGAGTAGAATAGGCTAACTTAGCATTGTTCGTACGAGACAATCAATAATATTTTATCAGATAATAAAGTTTTGTAAAATATTAAATAATTACATTAAACAATAAGTTGTTAAATTTTAGGAAAATTATAAATATTTATTTGAAGTAATTATGAAAATATATGTTTGATTGAATATTCGAAGTAGGAAATTCAATTATTCTAACCTATTTATAAATATTTTTTTCACATTATCTATTTTTACAGAACAAAATTTCTCTTTTTAAAATATAATACATGTATAAACTTTATTATCTGATAAAATATAATAATCTGATAATAATCTGATAAAATAATGAATTGTTGATTGTCTCGCACGAATACAGCTAAGTTAGCCTGCTCTACTCTACTCGATTTATCGGACAGTATCGAGTTGTCATAAATCATAAAGATGGTCGTGCATATCATATCTAATAAATTTTTCATAAAAATTTTTATAAATATGAATTTTAATAAATAAAAACATTTAAATGAAACACATACAATTCTATATTTAACATATTTTTACATGGATGTATGGTTTAAATGAATTTTTTACCATCACTCAATGAACCTATAAACAGAAACATGACATGCATTTCTACATGCAATATAACTATATATTTAGATTATGAGATATACTGCTATGATTACATACTGTACTGCCCAATATGCACCCATGTAAACTTATATTCTCCATCGCAAGCAGCCATAAGTACCATGTTAAAAAATCCTTTATAATTGTAAAATTGGGATCCTGACATAGGAGGGGCTTTAATGAGTATGTGTTTCCCAATAATGGCACCGACGCAATTAGGGAACTGCCATTTATCGATGAGTCCCTGTGCCACTCTATTCCACGAATTTTTATCCATAGTTGGGAGAAAAGTTGGTTGTAATGCTTCTTAAATTGCTTGGCAAGTCTCAGGGATTATCGTGTACACTGTTGATCTCCCTATGCGAAACTCAGTATGTTTACTTAAAATAGAATCTCCTAGAGCCAGATATCTGCAGGAACAACATAATGATGTTATACACACACACACATACACACACACAATAAAAATTTTAGATTTTACTTACAAAAGTATCACCTGTAAACGCAGTTTAGGACACAATGGAGTCCTCCTGCTTCGCGTTAGTAATTTATCTTGCACTTGATTAAGTAGCCAATTAAAATGTTCTGGCCACATGTAAAAATTTTGAAAAAATACATCATGGTCTTGCGTCTCCATTTCTCTTACAAGATTTGTCTGATAACCTTGTTAAACTTTAAATTGATTTATGGGACGAATCCACCATCTCCTTCTTTTACGATGTTCTCGTCTTTCTTTTCGTCGTTTCCATTCTAATATTAATTGATGGTGCCATACAATGACGGAAATACTTGCTAAAATTAATTCATTAAACTCCATTCAACTCCAAATAACTTCTCTATTCACTGAGGTTTATTGGTTCGATAGAGATATCGGTGTTACAAAAGCACAATCCAGCACATCGTCTTCGTAATTTTTCGTATTATTTAGCTAAATTCTTTATTTATTATTAATACTAAAAATTATTTTATGAATATATACTTTATAAACTAAATGAACGTAGTTCACACTCCCGCAAAATTAATCGACTCTCGCACACTCGAGAGGATCTCGATTGCCTATACGATTGGACACAACCAATCGGTGCAAAGCTTTATCTGGTGAATTTTAGATCCAACCAATCATCACTCTGTATCCTGTGTACAATCGTAATGTGTCCAATCGGACCACCCGCACAGTCGATACAATTTTCCTCCTGCGTTCTGATTGGCTTATCCTTTCTATTGCATCGTATTGTAGACAGGACTAGCGTAAGCATCTTTACGCCAAAATCGTTACTTCTACTCCTACTTCTTACTTCATTTATTGTAGATCGGGCCTGACAGTAAGCAGTAAGAAGTAAGCGTAAACGGTAAGAAATAAACCAATCACAATCGATTATGACAAAAATAATCAACTGTGGTTGGCCCATCTCTTATTGTTCACGCTTTCTTATTACTGCTTACGGCCATTGTAGATTACGCTTTAGGCTCGTCTACATTAGCTGTAAGAGTAAGGCTGTAAGGTTGTAAGACACGAAATGAAATGTTTTCATTCGCTGACAGCTTACGTTACAGCCTTACAGCCTAAGGGCCAAAGCACAGGCTTCTGCATAACACATAATACACAACGCATAAAAGAATCAACCAATCAGAGTTCTTCATTTCTGTCCTGAAGAAGGAAATGAAGAAAACTAATTGGTTTATTCTCTTATGCGTTATGTATTATGTGTTATGCAAAAGCCTGTGTTCTTGCCCTTACTCTTAAGCCAGCGGCACACGATGCTTGTTTCCGTGCTGGATTGCTTGCTGGATGAAAATACTGCGTTCTGATTGGTGCATTTCCATCCATCTTCGGAAATGTACCAATCAGAACGCAGTATTTTCATCCAGCAACCAATCCAGCACGAAAACAAACACAGTGTGCCACTGGCTTTACAGCTATTGTAGACGAGTCTTTGAAGCATGGTTTACAATGGCCGTAAGCAGTAAGAAGAAAGCGTGAACAGTAAGAAATGGACCAACCACAGTTGATTATTTTTGTCATAATCGACTGTGATTGGTTTATTTCTTACCGCTTACGCTTACTTCTTACTGCTTACTGCCATTGTAGACCACGCTTAAAGGTCATTCTACAATGAGGTTGCAGTAGTATGCAGTAGGCAAATTGACCAATCATAGTCGATTATTCTTCGATGGTAAAGAGAACAGTCGATCGTGATTGGTCAATTTGCCTACTGCATACTACTACAACCTCATTGTAGAATGACCTTTATAGAACTCGTCGGAATCGATTCTGATCGAATTTATTCCGTTATTTCCTAGATTTCTATTGTCTTTTCTAGGGGAAACGGAATTATTCGGAATCGATTCCGACGAGTTCCATAATAGGTATGTTGGTATGTATGAAGATGGCGGCAATTAGGCGGGAAAGTACATGCGAAACCGGCAAGCGATCGGATCGCTTGGAAAGATGCACGCTTTTTTAAAGACTGGAAAATTGGGCGCGTCAGTGGAGGTCAAGAAACCATCGACCTCTCGCTCTAAAGAGGACAAGAAAGATCTCACACCATGGGTGGAGAAATAGTGAGTATTGTCCTCATTACAAAAAATTAACCTCCAATATTTTACGCATAAGAAGCATATAAATATCGAGTCGTGTATCAAGAACGTCGTATCTGGATTACAAATGAATTTACACTCAGGGAAATGAGAAGGTATCGATGTATTAGATTGTTGTCACGCATTCTGCTATTTCAGTCGGCCGAAGAGCGTCGACGACATTGTGGAGCAAACGGAAGTAGTGAACGTGATAAGGCAAGCCATGGAGCATGGAGATTTTCCTAATATGCTTTTTTATGGACCACCTGGTACCGGCAAAACCAGCATAATTCACGCTGCTGCGAGACAGATGTTTGGCAGCATATACAGAGATAGAATTCTGGAGTTAAATGCCTCAGATGACAGAGGCATCCAGGTTGTGAGGGACAAGATTAAATCTTTCGCTCTGCGTAGAGCTAATCCTACCAGGCCAGAGTAAGCCTATGCAGACTTTTATGACACATACATGTACCTTGCTTCATTATTACTTTGTTTCTCAATCATTCATCAACTATATATAGTTATTTTAAAGAAAAATTATATATTGCAATTGAACTTGGAAAATCTTGGCTTTTATTTACAATAGTTATTGATCATAAGAATAAGCTACTTATGATAAGATATTTCTAATATGCCAATGATGAACTAGTGAAAGGTCTGATGACTGCAGAATATTGGTGCGGTGAAAAGATTGTTTTACAGGAGGTCTAATGAAGTTATTTAGTACCTTTTATTGGCAATCAAATACAAAGATGTTCTATCAGAGTTTAAGGAAGACTAAGGAGTTAAGTGAGCTTCCAATCATAAACTCTGAGAACAGACAGTCTGAATGCTGATACTTGAGTATTAGCTCAAGTCCATTGACTAGAAAGTTAAATTTATTTCTTCTGTTCTTTTTTCCGTGAGAATAATACAATTGACAGTAATTTAATAGAAGCAAATATATTTTCGACGTATAACTCCGAAAATATATTAATTACTTAATCTAGTTAGTTTCTTCAAAAACAAGTATATTCACGCCAATGTCGATACATTGGTTTGCTAAAATAATGTACAGAGCAAATTCTCAAGAGTCAGCCATTTGGGATAAATTGCGCACTACTGCAGTGTATGATCAAAATGGCACTGTCTGAGGCATTTTGCGAATATATTTGATTCATAATGCATTAAATAGGGCAATAACATCTTAACATTACTGCCTGCCTCTGCTCTTGCAGTGGCAAGAAATGTCCACCATTCAAGATCATCATCCTCGACGAAGCGGACAGCATGACTGGTGCCGCGCAAACCGCGCTCCGTCGCATCATGGAGAAGGAAGCGCACAGCACGCGCTTCTGCCTAGTGTGTAACTACCTGTCGCGTATCATCAAGCCGATAACATCTCGTTGCACCAAGTTCCGCTTCAAGCCATTGAGTGACGAAAAGAGCATCGCTCGACTGGAATACATTTGCAACGAGGAAAACTTGATGGCCAATCGAAATGTCCTCGAGAAGATTGTTGCGGCGTCCGGAGGTGATCTGAGACAGGCTGTCATGTGTCTGCAGTCGATCACACGATTAAAAGGCATAGAATACGAGATCACCGTGGATGATGCTCTGGATGTAATCGGGGTAAGTATGTTCATCTATAAAATCTAAAACTGCTAACATTATTTTCAAGGATAATATTGTAATTGCTCCAGCTTGTTCCCGATGAAAAAATCAATACGCTGTGGGAGACTTGTAAAAAGGGGAGTTACAATGATATTGAGACATTACTGGAAAACTTATTGCTGGAAGGATATCCGGCATCACAGGTATTGTATGGGATATCCTTTTAATATTTAAAATTTAATATTTAACACATACACTTGTGATTATTTGTGTTATATATTATTCGTGAAAATCGATAGATTAATTTAATTTCAATGATACCGTAATCGTAGGTAATCGATCAATTGAACGAGAGGATAATTTTCTGTGAGGATCTGAATGACAAACAAAAAACCATGATCGGTGACATGCTCGGGGTGAGATATTCTTTCACACATGTGAAATATACTTGATAGATTATGAATCTTAAAACTAAACTGTTTTTCCTCTCAGTTATGTGATTACAGGCTAACAGAAGGAAGCGACGAATACCTTCAACTTTTGAATGTTTTCTCTACAATCTCAGCAGCGTACAAAATGTAATAAATCCTACATCTTAGTTTCTATTATTAAAGCATTATGTATTTATATTTGAAGATGTATATATTATAAACTACGAGTAAAATTTTTTATATATTTCTATAGAATTGTTTTTGAGAGAGAGAACAAAAATTTTTATAGAATATATTTCTACAGACACAGAATTGTAGCAAAGACCTAATTTGCAAAAATTGGTGTAAGAATATCTTGGCATACAAACTTGCGTTCGTTTACGAGGAACTTTTTAAATAGCACTTTCTTTCTGACTTGTCGCTATGCACTAGTTTAAAAGTTGTAAAACGTGCAAACTTGTATTAGAAAAGCTACAATTCTCACGTTGGGGAACTTTACAATTGATTGGGGTTGAATCAAATGTATCTAGAGATACCCAGATATCCCCATCTTCTAACTAGATATGACACCAACTCTGGGATCGAACAAAGCCCCACAGCTCTCGCGGCAACCAACCGCCCCAACGTGGTACGCAAAAACCCCTATATCTCGCACGCCGCTCTCGACTGAGCGCGTTTCACAAAATAAAGTCGCAATCACGATCAATCAGGAACATTGACGAGAGATCAGACTGTTCTCCGGAAGATCATCGATGTCTCCCGATCGCGCGTACGTGGAAACTTCTGTCGTCCGTCACGAGCAACGACGAGATTGACACACGGCGTCGGCGTAGCCGGGGTTCGCACCTCGCCGGCGGCGCCGCGCGTTGACCACCACTGCGCTCGGCGTGTAGGGGCGTCGTTGCTGCTGCGTGCAATGTGTATCGCGTAGGCGTTGGCGAGGAGGCGAGAGACGAGAGACCGCCACCGTTCTCGGGGGATATGTGTCCGTGAGAGAGAAAAAAGAGGCAGCGGGCGGTGTGCGTGCCCGGTGTGCCCGTGCCGCGTCCGCGCGACGCTCGCTCGCTCGCTCGCGCACGTGTGTGTCCTATTGCGAGAATCGCGTGTTTGTCCCTTTCGAGACGGCTGCCCCGTGAGAGAGAGAGAAACGGCTCTAGCGCTCGCTTCTTCTCTCTCTTTCTCTCTCGCTCGGTCTGTCTATCTGTCTTTCTCTCTCTCTCTCTCTCTCTCTCCCTCCCTCCTACCCTCTCGCGCACATATTCTTGCTCTCCTTCGTCCCCCTCCCCCCAGTCTCCCACTCTTCGCTCCGTCTCTTTCTATCTGTCCGTCTACCTCCGTCTCTCTTGCTCGCGCGACAAGAAACGCAGCCTCTAGAGCGCTGCGCCTCGTCCACGACGGAGCTACGTCTGCAGCGCGTCGTCCTGGCGCGGCTGTCTCGGTGATTGTATTATTCGCGCTGCGTAGTGTGCGCACGCGACGTCGGGGAAGGTCGCCGACGGCCTCCTCCCTTCTCCTGGGTGCGTAACACGGCGTGGCCGTGCCGTACCGTGCCGCGTCGCGTCGCGTCGCCGTGGTGCCGTCGTCGGGAAGAAAGGGGAACGAACGAGCGCGTACGTACGTTCATACATATATACGGACGTACGTACATACGTGCGTGCGGACATACGACGAGCGAACGGGGGCGTGAACGACGCCCGTCCTCGCCGCCGCCACCGTCGTCATCGTCGCTGCTGCAGTAGCAGCAGCAGCAGTAGTATTGTGTACGTTCTCACTACGTAGTTTCAAAGCGAGCACGTCGTTCTTTTCTCGAGATATCCCCTCTGTGTCTCTTTCTCTCTCTCTCTTTCTCTCTTTCTTTCTCTCTCTCTCTCTCTCTCTCTCGCTTACTCATTCTCTCGCTCGCTCGTTGGCACAGAGGTCGTGACTTCCGGAGAGAAAGGAGAGAGAGCGAGAGAAAGAGAGGTGTACTCGCGAGAAAGGTGTGCTGACCGCGTTCTTCGCAACCAACAGGACCAGCAGGCGTTCCTGGCCCTCGCCGCCGTCCACCGCCGGCAACAACGTGCCGTGACACTTCCCGACGTGCCTCGCCGCGCCTCCAAGAGACTCCGTTAACCGGTTCGCTTCGCCGAAGGATCGTGCCGTCGGATCGCGACCAAGAGGAAGGTGCTCGCGCGATTGACGCTCCTCCGGAAGAAGCCCAAGGTATATTATCCTCCTTCCACCCGCGGAGAGTACGGAATCACACCGCCCTACCCCGGGGTCTCCGGCGGAGATAAGGATGCACACAAAGAACGCGATAAGGAAGGCTAAAAACGGAGAACGGCGCTGAGAGGAAGAGAAAGGGAGAACGAGAAAAAGAGGTCTCCTTTATTAGTCGAGACGTGAACGTGCGCACGGAGCGAAGTTGGCCGCGGGTGATTTCGGCGCGCACACACGCTCGCGTATCCCCACACATACACACAAGCCAGGCATACACACACACATATACACGGGTATTCTGTCTCGCACGAACGAGGATGTCCCCGTGGAAAGGACAGTGAAGAGCGCGCTGGAAGGAGAGGAGGACAGAAAGAGAGAGAGGGAGAGAGAAAGAGAGAAAGAGAGCTGCGAGAGGTGACCCTCCGCGGTGCGATCATCGTGGGTAAGAAGAGCACGCGCTTATTTCGCTGGACGGGAAATGTCTGTCGTCCTGCCAAGAGTCCCGACCGGCGCGGCCGGCTAGTCGTAAGCCGGTGTGCTTTTCATGCCTCGCCGCGGAGCATCCCGCGGTACATCCTGGCGCGCTGCGCTCCTCCCGGCTAACCTAACCCTAACCTAACCTAACCTCGGCAGCCTCCGAGTGCGGCCGACGTGTCTTGACCTCGACAACGGGGACAGCGAAAAGGACCTCTCTCTTTTTCGCCGGTGCACAAGAGGACCGGACTCACGTGAGACTACCGTTCACTACTGCGCTACACACATGCGCGCATACATACACACACACACGTAGTGCGGCATCCTCGAGCTCATTGTTCGAACGAGAGAATCGCAGTGCGCGTTCTACGTCTCTCTCTCTCTCTCTCTCTCTCTCTCTCTCTCGCGCGCATATCTGCTCGAGCTCCGACAGTGCGGATCCGCCGTAGCCGCAGATTATTAGCGGCGGTATCGCACGTCAGCGGAAGGACTCGGAAGGCCGGGCGCACAGCCGGCGCCTCCTCCGCGTACCTGACATTCCGAAGGATCGCGTGGCACGGCGCTACCTCAACGAGCGGAGCGCCGCGACGCCGCGCTTGGAGCGGCGGCAGGGTTTCTGCCTCTCTCCCTCTCCGACGGAGTTTCTTGCCGGCCTAACCGGCGAAGGGAAAGACCTCCACGTGGGAGGAAAGGACACGGCTCCGGCGGCCTCAGCGAGGGACTCTCTTTCCTTCTCTCTCGCGTCTGCGAGATCGTCGTGGCCGTCGTCTGCTGGACAAAGGCGTGGATGATATCGGCGCGCACGCGGCAGCCGAGAGCGACAACGACGGAACCCGAGACGACGAGGATCGTCTTTCCCGCGGACGTAACGGGTGTCACGGATTCGTGGAATGTGACGGGAGACGTCAGCCGTGGAGTGAGTCGTAGAAAAGGTAAGTCGAGCTCTATCAAGGCGACGCGCTGCGCTACGCTGCCCGGGATTGCGTGCGTGCGCGCGCGCGCGCGAAGCGCTGCGCTCGAGAGCAAGCCGATCGGCCGAATCGCACACGTTCGACTTCCGCGCTCTTCTTTCAGTCAGGCTCGCGAAGCACGTGCATATATACCGAGTGTCCCGCCGAGTTACCGTGTGTGTCGCCTTTGAGGCCGCCGCTTTGCTTTGAGCGAGCTCTTGCTCTTCCTCCTCAATATCGAGCGATGTTTGGAGCGTGTGGTTCCCACGCGATAACGAAGGCTCCTCTTTTTCTCTCTCTCTCTCTCTCTCTCTCTCTCTCGCTCCTTCTCTCCCTCTCTCATTCTCGTCTTCTGTTCTTGCCCCGTCTCGTCTCGTCTCGTCTCGTCGAGGACGGATCCGAAGCTTCGAGAATGCAAATGCGTAACGGGATTCAGATTCGCCGGATAATTTGGCGCGGTGTTTATCTTGGCGGAATTCTAATGCACTTAATAGACTTCAATTAACCGGATTTACACGCCAACGTCGTCGCTCGCTGAGGGGCGGGGGGGGGGGGCGCGGTTCGTTAACTAGCGTCCCATCGGATAATCGAAGGCGGGCCGATTTGAAAACTCGCCTCACGCGAACGGCGGAGAATCCACCTCAGTCCGGCTTACTACTTACGTGCACATTAGCCGCGCGTCTCGCATTCGCGCACGTAACTCGCGTAAACTCGTTAGCCGAGCAAAGAGGCTCGCGATGAAATGAGTAATTAGAGACACGGTGAGAACGCTTTCGCGATTGATTATCTTCTTCAGCGGAGTAAATCATCGGAGGCGAGTGCCGCTCGAGAGAGAGAGAGAGAGAGAGAGAGAGAGAGAGAGAGAAAGAGCGCGCGCGCGCGGCTCGAGATACGTAGATCGCCCCGGCGTTATTCTACAAACTTCCTAATGAGCTCCTGCGAAGCGACGATGTATTTAATTATCGATCTTCCGCGCTCGCGGCGGATATGCCGTATTTGCAAGCAGCGGTCATCAAATTTTCATCGACTCCTTCCCAGAGTCTCCGAACGCCGCCACCTGTTCGACGTCGAACACGGCGGCCGGCCGGTTCTCCGCGAGCTCTTCATAGCCGAGTGATCCATACGCTCGCGTTTGCCCGTAAACAAGCGACTGATCCTCGAGCTGGAATAACGCGAATCACGAGTTCCTCATGCGGGACGAACAAAGCTCGAAAATCGAATGGCTACACTTAGCTGATGCCAAACGGGGGCGGTCGTCCGAGGCGGAGCCCTTTGTGTCGCATGCGAAGGTCATGTAATACAAAATTGCTGCAGCCCCGGAAACGGTCGCATTTAGCGACCTCGAATGCACGCTCGGAGAATATACGGAACGTTAGATCTCCCGAACGTGTGTCGCATTCCTCGCTTTCCTGAATTCGCCTGATCCGGCTCGCATTTCGGATTGCACGTCCGCCGAATTTAGGGATTCTTTTGTACCCTCGCTTCTCCCTTCCCATCCCCCTCCCCGTCTCTCTGCCTGTTTTTCTCCTTCTCTCGCTCTCGAGACTCGAGTCTTCGATCATTCGACGCCCGACGTTGGCGCGTATTCGCGAAATCAAACGGGGATCCATCTTCCTGTGCGCGATGCTAAATCCGGTGTATTCGTTATCCACCGTTACGTGATAACACGGACACATGCGCTTTGCGGCTCTTGCGCTCTCGTCCCGAATCGTCCTTCTCATTTATAAAACGAAAATCGAACGTACGCGAGAGGGAGAGAGAGAAAGAGAGAGAGAGAGAGAGAGAGAGAGAGAGAGAGAGAGAGAGAGAGAGAGAGAGAGAGAGAGAGAGAGAGGTGGAAGGGGGGAGACGGAGAGACGGATAGATGGGTAGAACGGCTCCCCTCCTCGAAATAGTTGTGCTCATCGATTGATTATTCGGCCGGATTCCACGCGGTCGGACCGGGACACCGCGTACAGCCAGCCGCTGTATGACAATCCCCGAGATTCAGCGTTATTTGCATTATCAGTTTACGCGAGGTCGACCGATTGGTGTGCACGTCGGTTAATTATGTTAGACGAAGTTGTTCGTCATCCCACCTGATCGGAGATCGACTGACGGGACGAGCGATCACGAACAGAGGGAATTGGAGGCAGGAGAGAGAGAGAGAGAGGGGGGGAGGGGGTCTTTGAACCCGCATTATCATTCCTGAATTAGATCTAACGACGCACGCAGACGAGCAATTGACTGTGACGTCCGCGAGGAAAGGACGCGGAAAGAGCCGCCGGGTCTTTGCCAAAAACGCGAATTACGCCACGTATTAATTAATATCGTTGTACGTGAATTGTAATCGCGCGAGGAAAGTGGACTTCGGACTTCGGGGCTCGGCGAAGAGACCGCGCGAGAGAGCGCGGGAGCGAGGGAGAGACGCTCTCCCGAGGATATTGTAATTGAAATTAATTGGCAGACGCGTAAAGAGCGCCGAGATACTTTCCCGAGCGGAGTCGTCAGAAACTGAAGAAGTTCCCTTCCCTTCGTTTGCTCTTCTCGTTCGGCCGCTCCGACGCGTTGCATCGTGACCCGGAAGAAAAAGACAAACAATGTCGCGCGAGCCGTGAAGTATACATTTCGCGTGGCGTCGGTGGGATGAACACCCCTCGCGACGCGATGAGACGAACTCTCATGTCGCGAGGAACGCGATTTCGCGCGAGGGCGCGAACAAACTCGCCGCTCGATTCTCCCGACGACCTCGGTATTTGAGAGCGCGGGGCCCGCGGGGGGAGGAGGAGGACAGTGCGCCCAATGTCCACGCTTATTTTCGTAGCAATTTTCGGGACGATCCCCGGCAACGGCGCGCATTCGTGTTTTACATAATTAATTCTCATTACACAGTTAATCGTCAAATAACAGTGCACGCGTTAGACATTTAATCGAGTTAAATGTAATTTCGATAACGGCCCCACCCCCTCTCATTCTCTCTCTCTCTCTCTCTCTCTCTCTCTCTCTTTCTCTCTCTCTCTCTCTCTCGATATAGAGTGTCAGTCGCGGCGCGGTTTACCGGGATGACGAGCGCCTGGCATCGAGGAAACGGAGGTTCGTCTCTCGCGTTATCAGGCGGTCGCCCGGGATCGATAACGAGGCGAGCGTATTTATCCTCGAGTAAGTCAGGCCCGCGCCGCGATAAAGCCGAAAGTTAGTATCTTTTATCTCGGGAAGAGGTGTGAGAGAGTCTTCTCTCTCTCTCTCTCTCTCTCTCTCTCTCTCTCTCTCTCTCTCTCTCTCTCTCTCTCTCTCTCTCTCTCTCTCTCTCTCTCTCTCTCTCTCTCTCTCTCTCTCTCTCTCTCTCCTTTTCCTCTTTTTGATTCCCTTCTCAGTCTCATTCTCTTTCCCCCTTTTTCTCTCTCTCTCTCTCTCTCTCTCTCTCTCTCTTTCGCTTGGTCCGCTTTCCACTTTTCGTGTCTCTAATTAAGCCGCGGTCGCGCCGAGAGAAGTACAAGCCGGAAATAGAAAATTAGAGCGCGCCGTACCGCGCCGTCGTACGGATTTGAACCTTGCTGGAAAATTCTCACATCCACATGGCCGCACGCACAGCCGTGCACACGGACGGAGAATTCGGCGACCTTTCCTGATCTCTCGAATTTGCGAATTCGTCCCCGACCGAGACCGACTACGGTTGAAACGGTTGTAACGCGCGTCATTCAGCGTACGTATTATTTTACGATGTGTTTATATCATTCGCTGTGCGCGCCCTGAAGTCTCACGGAAACACGTTGATGCATGGAATGTGATATGATATTTTTCTCCCGTATTTTTCGCTATTTCTTTTTCCCCGTAAATACGCCAATTCGTAACGACGCGCGCGAAACTGAAAATTCGGAGATTAAATGACTCGTTAAGTGACCTCCATTCATACGATGCCGGTGTTTTATCAAATATTTAAATGCACTTTTCTCGAACGTTTTGATATTTCGACGTTTGAAACATTATATCGCTTTTACAATCTTCATGCAATAATTTTATATCCTTTTTCTCTTTTTCATATATGTACTATTCTTTTCATCGTTGCATTAATAACGAAAAAATGAAAAAGAATTGATGGCTCGTTCAATGCTTAATGCGAAATTGGATTTCCTCCAGATTGTATTTATATGATTACTTAATTTATAATTTACAATGCCGCTCAATACTCACGACCCCGATAGGACCCGATATTCAATCATCGATAATTGTTGCGCCGATCGAACGGCAAGTCCTTCATTCTACTTCCATCCACCGGGGTGGCGGTAGTTCGCTGCAGTTTCCCCCACCTGCGCTGCTTTCAATTTTGCCGGCTTTTCCCCGATTTGCGGCAACTTCGAGACCGCCCGCTCTGTTACTCGCGAGACAATGTTACCTCCCTTGAGCGGCCAGGCGTGCTCGATATCACTCGATATCGCGAATGTCCTCCGTCGTGTTCGCAGTCGCGATGTAATTTCGAGTGGAGACGTTGGGAGAGAGAGGGGGAGAGAGAGAGAGAGAGAGAGAGGTTCTGTGACTTATGGCTCCTTCGAGGATATCGTGAGAGAGCGAAAGATGCGGAAAATAAAGCTTATAAATGTCGGACAGCACGAAGAGTGTCCCCCGCCGACTCTTCAGCTCGAATTGCATCTCGTGAGAGGAAAAGGGAAAAGGAAGAGGAAGAGGGAGAGAAAGGTGAGTAGGAAGTGGAGGCGCAATTCGAAATTGCAAGCTCGAGCAAAAAGCAGGTCGCGCGTCTTTCTCGCCTAATTGCTAATTAACGTAATTAACTCTCTCTTTCTCTCTCTCCCCCCTCCGTCTCTCTTTCTCGCTTCCTTACAAGACGAATCGCTCATGGATATTTCGTATTATTTTAGTTGCGACCGGTCGGCACACCGGTAGACCAAGCTCGTTCGAATTTTTCTCACTGCTCACGGATGAGACATGCTTCTTATTAACGTAACTTTCTTTCCGCCAATACATACATACACACACGCGCGCGTGCG